TAACAAGTAACACGCCGGCGTAGCCGCTCTCAGGTTTCTCTCTGGTATAAGACAGAGATGTTTATATTAAAAGTAAGACAGCTACTCCACCAGTAGTCCTCTCCTTGCTGCAATGCAAGATTCTGCGTCTACAAGTGCTCAGTCGAGGCAACCTGTATGTTAAAGAATCTTGGCCAGTGTGACACGAGCTCAGTGAAAATTAGATCTGCTGGTTTCAGTTGCATATTTTACACTTTCTTTCTTCTCCTCTTTCTTCACTCAAAGCAGATATAAATTTATCTTATTTGAAGACAGAAAATGGAAGAAAGAACAACAAAAATATACAAATCTACTATTAAATGGTAAAATATATTTTGTTATATATAATATATTAGTTTACAAGACAGTAATTTAGAGAATAGAAATATAAATAAATGCACAAGAGTCTATAAGTAAAACTATCATTCTTGAATTGTAAATGTGAAATAACGATTATTGACTTGTCATTAGCTATATAGTTGACAATGTGATTGTTTAAATTGGCAATTAGCAATTAAATATAAAGTAGGCATGTATCTAATAACACAGAACGTTAGAATATTAGAAAACAAATTTTGATTGCTTATTTTTTGGTTCTTTTTATAGGTTACGTTTTGTGGCTATATTACTTGTCACATAATCTCATAATTGTTTACATATGATGTCACATATGCCGTGTTTGATGAAATACAAACATTAATAGGTAAGTGCCAAGAAATTTCTTTACATGTGATTAATTAATACAGAATTAAAATTGACTAAATAAAATTATAACTATAAAATTACTTCTGCGATTTCCTCTATTTTGTACTAATTACTATATATTATGTTTCTACTTTAAATTTGTTTAATAATAATAATAAAAAAAGACTAGACTAGTTGTTCTCTTATTCGTTTTCTCTTTCAACTCTGTTGGGAAAATATATAATTAAATATAATTGTTCAAATTGTCTATATAGAAATTATAATTTTTGCATTTCTTTACTTTTCTAACATTACTAAGATTAAATTTGTACAAAAATACTCCATAATCCTAAGACTTTAGTGCCTTTTGTCTTATAATTTCTACTGCAAAGTGTTACGTTTCATTATTTAATATTATATTAATAAAAATAATAGTAAAAAGAATTATTCAACGACATTAGGCTGGCAGATGTCTTTATTCATTAGATTTCAACGTTTCGACCATACGGGTTGTGGTCCTTTTCAAGGAATTAGATGTTCTACAAGTTAACAGGACATTGCAATTTGGAAATTGTATCGATCACATCATGAATTCAGTCCGATTGTATCTACTTACAAATAATAAATCATCAAGGGTACATCAAAAGAAACGGTCTAACATTCATCTTTGGGTGTCATTCAGGGAACGGTGTTTGAAGGCACGTCTATCCGACGTTACGACCAAAGTAGGACTGAATGTCAGAGTGGTGTAAACAAGATACAGAGAGCGTGCTAATAAATAAATAACTTGACCTGAGTCCGAGTCAGAAAGATAAAACGAGAATAAATAATTAACAAATAAATAATACTAGAATTAAGTCGGAGGTATAAAATTGAACCAGAATAAATAATAAATACTTTGATAAATAAGTTGTAAATGAGTAAAAAAGAGTCAGAGTCAGACAGATGAAGCCAGAATAAATGATTGAGAAATAAATAACTAGATTTAAGTCAGGGTTATAAAATCAGAGTAAATAATAAATACTTTAATAAGTAAGTTGTAAATTCGTTAAGTCATATATATAAAAAACTATTAATTTAAAAAATGTATAAGGCTGTCATATGTCGCATTTAAGTTCTCGGTATCTTTTTGTAGATTTATAGTCCCGCTTGTCTTCTTGATATAAAACATCTCCGTTATCTTCCTTTTGCGTAAATTTCTTTCCTTATGTAATATCCGGGGATCTTGCCAATCAAAATCGTGGCCATATTCGACACGGTATTCGACACGGACAATAAAAATAATGTTAATTTTTATTGAAGTTTAATATTTAAAAACAAAGTTTCATATAAACATTCTATAATCTATAAGTTTTATTTATTTTTCATATAGATCATTACTTTTGGATTTCTCTCAACTATCAATAATAAAATTTATCTTTAGTATAAAAGAAATTATTTTGTATTATTAATATGATTGTTGTCATGTCTCTAATGATGATTATTTAAAATAATTAGGATTATATACAAAGATACTTTATTGTCTCAAAATTTTATAGTTCTACCCTCTACTTTACAGCTTTAGTTATTGCTGCAAAGACATTTTTACCTATCATTAGTAGAATTAAATTAATACAAAAACCTTTGTATAATCTCAAAGTATATCTTCGTAAAATGTTGAAATGTTTTTAGTTCTTATCACATATTACGTATATAACTGTATTCATTTTCATAATCATGCATTTTTTTTGCAGATATGTCTGAGCATGTGGAATTACAACATTTGGTTGATGCCGATGTGGAGAATAATACAAGTCATAAAAAAAAGTTTTCTAGTCTATCATGCAAATCATGTCCTTACATGGGTCTAGTATTAGCGACACTTTCGTCTTTGTTCTTCTCATTATGTAGTGTCATCGTTAAGAGTTTGATAGAGGTAAATCCAACAGAAATGGCAATCTTCAGATTTTTGGGAGTATTGTTACCAGCTATACCAATTGTGATTTATAAAGGTGAACATCCTTTTCCAAAGGGACGTAGACTAATACTTATTCTGAGAAGTTTTATTGGTACAACAGGACTTATGTTAAGTTTCTATGCATTTAGACATATGCCGTTGGCTGACGCCTCAGTTATTGTATTTTCTGTTCCTGTGTTTGTAGCAATATTTGCACGAATATTTTTAAAGGAACCCTGTGGGCTCTTCAACGTTGTTACTGTATGTTTAACATTGATTGGTGTAATATTAATAACACGTCCGCCGTTAATTTTTGGTAACACAATAGAATCTCTCTCGGATGGTCGTATTAAGCCAGAGCATGCAGATTTATGGAGTGCTATGGCTGCTTTTTCAGCTACTTTATTTGGTGCAAATGCATATGTTTTATTACGTGCATTAAAAGGTCTTCACTTTTCTGTTATAATGACAAACTTTGGTTCATTTGCCCTGATACAAACTACACTTATATCATGGGCAGTTGGTGCATTATGTATGCCACATTGTGGTACAGATAGACTTTTGGTTGTTGCACTGGCACTGTTTAGTTTTGCAGGTCAGATTTTGTTAACCTTAGCTCTTCAAATCGAACAAGCTGGTCCAGTGGCCATAGCAAGATCCACAGATATTGTCTTTGCATTTTTTTGGCAGGTATTATTTTTTAATGAAATACCAAATCGATATTCTGTAGGTGGAGCGATATTAGTCACTAGCTCAGTTTTGTTAACAGGTCTAAGAAAATGGGCTCTCTCATTACCAGAGACATCAAATATTAAAAAGTCTCTTGGAATCATAGTCATATAAATAATTTTTTCCATTTAGAGATGAAAAGGTAAATTGCAAAAAAATCAATGTCCAAAAAATGGTCATATATGTGAGAAATATTATAAATAATAGCAATTTAAATGCTTCTTTCAAAATTGTGAATTTATATATACAAGGTATTTTAGATCTATTAGCTCACATGCTAATAGCTGATTTCGATAGTTATTTAATGATAATACAAAAATGTCATAATTTTAAATAGAAAGCGTTTAAAATTTAAAAACTCGTGAGAAGTATTTGAATTTAGCTAGTCAAATTGACAAGATCTCATGCATACAAATATTACAGTAGTGAATGTGTTCTAAGATATTATGTTTTAAAATATTAATGTATTTTTACATACATATAATACATATAATAATACATTTTTGAAAATATCTTTAAATATTATCTCAAGGTTGTTTATTTATGTGATTATTCTATTGTCCCTGCTAATAATATTATGGAAGCGAATGCACTTGAAAATGATCAAAAAGTTTTTTTTAATTGATTGTTTCTTGTATATTTTCAATTATATACCTACACTAGTTTTTGAATATGATTAAACATTCTAAGAAAGAAATTGGACATACAGTGTGGGAAAAAATTTTTTATACATAATTATACATAAAGTATGTATAATACCAGGGTTGGGGAGGTAACTCGTTACTTGTAACAAAGTTACAGTTACAGTTACTTGTTTTGGTAACTCTAACTTATAATTTCGTTACTTTCTCTCCATTTGTAACTGTAACTTAACTTATTGTCTGTTATTCTTTTCGATAACTAGTAACTAATTTAATAGTTATATTAATAATTATTTTATATATATTTTAAATTTCTTCAGATTGCATTAGGTGTTGTATTTGCGCATAAACACTTTTATCGACACTTTACAATTTAAATGCAGATTTGATATTTTTATTTTCATTGCAAGAAAGTAACGGCAAAGTAACAATTTGTTACTGTTTGAGTAACGTTATTTTTTCGAATTTGTAACTGTAACTAGTTACAGTTTTACCGAAAAAACTGTAACTAGATACTTTTATAAAGTAACTTTCCTAACTTTGTTATACATATATAAATTACAGCCAAATTTCATATATTATATATACAGGGTTTTCCACGAGAAAATGTCAATATTCTAAGAATTCATAATATTGGTCATTTCAAGTAAAAATGTTTATATACCTATTCCAAGCTGTTTCCAAGCTACAGCTGTGTGAAAAACAGTATAATATTTTCAGTTTAATATATACATTGTTCTTCTTTTCTAATATTGTTCTTCCTTTCTTCTCTCTACAGTCGACTATTGTGATTGTGAATAGTGAGATTGTAGTGTTTCTAAAGATGTTACACATCTTTAGAAATGTCAAATATACAAATACTTTGTATATTTACAACTTCAGCGATGGTAGTTCCACTGATACTGTTAAAGAGTTCCATTAATGTTTTCCTAAGTACAGCATTCTGCCTTTGAATGTTTTTCAGTATTTTCAATACATTGTGTGAAACTGATACGTTTTTTAATGCACATGCGCTATGCTCAATGTCATGATAAAATATATAATATCTTCCGTTTAGCAATAATTTTGAAAGTATATATTTAAACAGTTTTATCTTGGTAACTACGAGGGACATTCAATAATTAAAGAGACAAATTGATGTAGAAAAAAAACTGTGTATTTTTACAAAATGATACTTTTACTACTTCTCAACATAATCCCCACCAATATTAATATACTTGTCCCAACGATGAACTAGTTTTTTTATACCAGATGCAAAGAAGTCTTTGTTTTGTTGTTTGAGCCACTTTCCCACAAATTGTTTAACCTCCTCGTTGTTGCTGAACTTTTTTCCTCGCAATGCCTCCTTGAGTGGACCAAACAAATGGACCATACAACTTTCACCATACTGTAAAATCATTCGAGAAAAGATTTTAACTGGTTTTTCACCTTCAGAAAGCAAAAAGTAAAAACGGA